GTCATGACCCAGAGTTCATGACCATAGATGAGGGTAGGAACGTAGATCCAATAATCCATCTTTGACTTTATTTGCATTTGATTTATGCAGCAAGACAGATTTAAAGGATATAGTGAGAAATCAAAGTCGCTCAAAAAACGTTTGTTTTGTTGTTTTTTGTTTGTTTTTAAACTCAACAAAGCTGCTGCAAAACAATCAATCAGGTCATTCATGGTCAGAAATCTTCAAATGTGGCTAAAACAAAAAATAAATAAAGGAAAATTACCATACAGTTATGTGACTGATTTCCAGGTACCCAATACTTTCTACACTTATGAAAAAAAGTACCAGAATATATTTATATGGGGGCAAATACTTTTTCACTGCACTGCATGTTTTTCCTGTTTGGATCCCAGAGATTTTGACTACAACTTTCAGTTTCTATACAAAAAAAAAAACGCACACTCTGGCAACTGCAGCCTGGATACCACTGAGCACTCCAAATTAATAGAGGCTCCAAGGATGGCTGAGCATGCGTGAATGCAGAAAGCTCAGCTGCTGTGCATAATTCATAAGCAATCCTGAAATGTCTCACTAGGTCTTGCCTCTCCACAAGCCTGACTGTGAATCTGCGTTGTTGCTGATGAGTAAATGTCAGATAACCAAGTAGTTTTATCTCCATATATCAAATCTATGTATTTATACAGGTGCATATAACTGCTTATATAATGTCCAGTGGTGCAGATGTTATAATATAGCATTAAACAAAACTGGTGAGACTGAACCAGACACTTATACATAAATAATAATAGCTGTCTAGAAGAAAAAGTTTGTGTCTAGTGACCTACTTTCCTTTAAAAACCTCCAACTTGGTGACCTGAAGCTAAGGACAAACATTTCAAGACACACTGGCAGTTTAAAACGCAAGTGAAAATTAAACACTCTTCCTTCTGTCACTTGATTTAGAAGGAAAGCGGCAAATAGGTTAATTTGATGTCATAAAGTTTATCAAATTCTTTGAAGGCAGGGGTATTTTGGTGACTTACTGACTTATAAAGCAACCATTCCTTTCCAAAAATGTAGTCCATCATTTCAAAAGAGAAATAGGGCATGAAAATAATCAAGAGGTAAAAAAAAAAAAAAAAAAAAAAAAAGAAAAAATCCAACACATTGCTCAATTTTTTATGCCACAATGATTGGGAAAACATTCAAAGGTGAATATGTATTTATTAATTTAAGGTGTCCCGGAAAAGGTTTTACTTAAAAAAAAAAAAGCAACTGCATAATTGAAGTTTGCAATGGTCAGCCGTTTAGATCACAGAACAGCTCTTTAGACCAGCTAGACTTGAGTAGGTGTTAGGAGATGCTTTAGCTCAGCTGATTATGATTATTACAGTTGAGCAAAAGCCTGTTAATCAGCTTTCAATTAAAATAAGCAGAGATGGCAAAAGTACTCACTTTCCGTACTTGAGTAAAAGTACAGATACTTGTGTTAAAAAATACTCTGGTAAAAGTGGAAGTACTGATTAAACTTCTTTACTCAAGTAAAAGTAACAAAGTACAGGCTTGTAAATTTACTTAAAGTATAAAAGTAGAAACCACTTTTTTCATGCCGTTGCCTACATTTTAAATGGATGTCTGCCAATAGGACTAGATCTCCGTTGTGTTCATTTTCAATCATCTCGTCGTCCATACTACTATGCTAACGCCACCGCCACCAAGCTGCAATGATTTGCTGCGAATGAATACCGCTGAATCTGTCGATTCATCTTGTAGTGGTGCGTCAAATGCAACGTAGATTCCCATCCAATTAGATTGAATTTGGTATTGATGACGTTAAAAAATAATAACGGTAACTCCATTGAAAGGATTCAAAACTAAAGTAACGAGCCAATTTTTTTAAATGTAAGGAGTAGAAAGTACAGATATTTGTGTAAAATAAGGAGTAGAAGTAAAAAGTCGCCATAAAAATAAGTAGTAAAGTAAAGTAAAAATATCAGAAAAATCTACTTGAGTACAGTAACGTTACTTCCCATCTCTGAAAATCAGCAGTGCTGGAGCAAGAAAACCTCTGAAACCTGCAGGACATTGGGGATCCCTGATGAACGGTGTTATTTCTGGTGAAAGATGAAATCTAGCTCATAACAGCATGTTGAGGTCTGTATCTCTGCTTCTGTCTCCTTGAATCCGTCGGCCTTGGCAGATGGCCGCTCCCACTGAGCCTGGTTTCTTCCCGTTAAATGGGAGTTTTTCTTCTCCACTGTCGCTACACGCATGCTTAGTGTGAGGGATTGCCTTCGAGTCGATGCAATCAACTGGTTTTCCTTCGAAAACTTTGAATCAAATTGACTGTAAGATCTGGTGAGCTGTAAAGTGCCTTGAGGCGACGTGTTGTAAATTGGTGCTATATAAATAAACTGAATTGAAATTTAGGGAACCACTTAAATTCTTGGGCTGCTGAAGCTTCTACCCCCCAACTTTTCGATGAATCTCTAAAACAAATGAAGTTCTGCTTAGCAGAGGCCTGGCAATGAGCTGCTCATTAGATCCAGGTTTGTTGGTTAGAGGTTTTTCCTTTCAGTCTCACTTCACGTCTTCAACATAAAGCACAATAGACAGAGGAGCTGTATTTACAGAATTTTATTTCATTATGCTGCAAACAATGACATCCAGATATATTGATACACAACTTCTTACTGTGCGTGTATGTGCGTTAGTGAGTGTATGCGTGTGTAAAGAGCAGTGAGACCACAGAAAGCTGGATGAAAATCCTGTGTGACGGAGCCCAGAGAGGGTTATCAAGGCAGAGATAGCAAGAGGGCACCGGGCGATTCTCTGGAGGGACACACAGGTCCCTAAAACAGCTGCATCGACTTTTTTCTTCTATAAAACACTTCAGTGTTCGGGCCTCATGCCTGTGCTCTCACAGCAAGTTATCACGATCTGTTGAGTGTCGACTTGAAAGATAATTGGTTTAAAAACAAAAATAAAAGAGGCGAGAAGCTTTGCCTGCCCTCATCTCACCATTTCAGTAGATGTGGTGGAAAAGATTCTTCTGTCAAAACAAACAGACACACTCGCATGACCAGAACTAGGGCTGGGCGATAAGACCTAGAATATCACCATAAATTAAGCAGTTTTACCTCGATAACGATAAATGCTCCAGCTCCTCTATCAGAAATAAAGGCATGTGCAGGATCTATTTATAATTTATTTATTGAATAAATCACATTACATATTACTTCCAATTAAATATCAAATGTTCCCATTCAGGTTTAAACATTCAATAATGTCTCATTGAAGAGGAGAAACATTTTACCTGTCTAGCAAACTTTTTTGCACAAATGTAATGGAGCCTTATGCACATCTTTTAACTCAACAGCGTGGCTGAGCCATAGGTGGCGGAGGCTGGATGCATTACTTTGGGAAGTCCTGACCGTTTTCAAACAAATTTTGCATTTCATGTTCTCTTGCTCAACATCTATGGTGCACGATCAGTTTGATGCCACCAAACTGATCGTGCAGTGAGACCATTGTTCATAGTTTAAACTCCCACAGCCTGGCTTAAAACTGGTCTGCCACGCGCTCAACTCTGGAAACACACTATTGACTTCTCTTCGCGCTCAGCTTCATCTCTGCTCTCGCTCGGCTCCACAGAATTTACTGATGTAATTTCTTTAGGGCTTTTTTAGTCGCTTCTTTACTTCCATTTTCTTTGTTTACAACCCTGACTGGATCGGCGGAGTCGCGTGATTACACACAAGCTGCAGTGCCTTAAAGGGGAAGGAAAAACCAGCCACCAGCGCAAACAGGCAACAAAATTATTCATCGACGTATTTACCAAAATTAGAAAATTTGTGCCGGTATCTTAGTGAATCACGGTAAAAATCTGGTTTATCGCCCAGCCCTAACCAGAACCTAATGCATGTATTCAGGACGCTGATTCTGGCTTGACTTTTTTTTTTTTCCTTCCTTACACTTTCCCTGTTTTTCTACAAAAACGCAGAAACAGGAAAATGAAACAAACACTAAACATAACCTTAACCATTGGTTTGAGTGCACTGTCAGTTAACCAGGACCCACCTGCACCAACACACAGACATTTACCCTTTGACCCAATGGGAAGTCATGACAACAGTATGGAAATTTGTAAATCTAACAGTATTGAATTCTTTTCTTTTTTATTTGTTTGAGTCACCATGCAAAGATACTTATCATTTTGAGAGTGTTTATTGTCAGAGATTGCGTGACATTTATTAAGCGTACCCTACATCCAGAATAATTTACACAAAAAGGACAATAGTCATCTTTATGGGGCTGGACCGGCGTAGGGAAGAAGGGGAGCGAGGAAAAGGTAAAGCGCATTGGTCAATGATTTGGAGTGCGAGAGGTGAGGGGGTCGGACGTTAGGGCAGAAGGGAAGAAAGAGCTGAGGAGCGTAAGCTGGGGTGGAGCTTGTTTTCATCCTGGGAACAAGGGGAAGCAGGACAGGATGAGACACGGTGGCAGAATCAGCGGCACTCCCAGACTTTGACTGTCTGATCAACACTGCCTGTTACCACGTACGGAGCCGTCTTGTGGAAATCTGCAAAGAGGAAAACAATTTGTTCAGTTTTGTTTTGCATGTGTGCAGCGACAGATGTAAACCTGTGAACAAAGAGGAGCCAGTAAGATTCCTTCTTCTCTTTTGGGTATCTAGGGTGCAATGAAGATAAATCAAAGAAGGGCAACCTCCAAAAGGTATAATATGGTTTAAAAAATGATTATCATTCACTGAGAAGGTTTTATTCAGCCATGTGTGACAGAAAAAACAGCAAAGTCCTCTGCAGTAACCAGTTTCAAGGTGATAAAAACAAAGAAACTCGCAGCAGATTGGTAAATAACTCCCTAATCAATGTCTGTACTTTTCCACGTCTATGACAAAAGGTAGAACAAGCAGCGATTTTCTCAAAACATGAACCTGAAATGTGCAACGTCTGCAAAATGGAACAGCAGATTCTGTAAAAACTTTAACATGCTAACTATTTAGTTATATCTATAAATGAATGCAGTTACTCTAATATTACTCTAATTTCTAGGAGGTACAGATTTAAAATTAATTCAAATAATCAGTTTCTGATAATAAATGAGCCATTGATACACATTGGTACACATCTTAAAAAGTACGTTTTGCTGCTTTAATTAACATATGATTTAAAAAAAATAATAATTCTTATTTTATTAATATAATTAATGGAAAATACTTTATTCGCATTGCTCCAATCAAATCCATTGTAATAATTAGCATATTTGCATGCTTTTGCTGGCTGGACTGCTACAAAATGTTAATAATGTCAGTCATAAGAACCATGCATTTTAATCTGTAAATTAGGGGCTATAACGGTAAGCTAGTTTAAATCATATTTGTACATTTAATTCAAAAAATTTTTAATTTTTCTTCCAATGCTATTTTTTTTCTACGCAGTTTAATTAAGAAGGAAAGATAATAAGAGTAAAATATCTTGAATTGGTGGAAGTCATATGATATGGTGGTTATATTTTGTGTTTTGATTACATCAGATACTAATAATTGTATTGAAACCAGTAATTACTTGTTACATTCATCTAATGCAGACTGATAAATGAAATCCTCCTCACCCAAAGAGGTAACAAAGTGTTCGTGAGCAGACAGCGTCTTCATGCAGCGTTTGTTCTTGTAGTCCCAGATCCTGATTGTTTTGTCGTCAGCACAGCTCACGATGAACCGTCCTCCAGGATGAAACATTATCCCACGTACCCAGTTGTCGTGTCCCACCTGAATATAAAAGACAGATTATTAACCGTAAATCAGCAACACAGAAAAAAAACATCTTAGAGTATCCTTTGCACCACTCACCAGAGTCATAAGGCAAATCCCAATGCTGACATCCCACATTTTAATCGTTTTATCTCTGGAACCGGAGAGAAGGAAGGGGCCAGGCTTACCACTCTTTTTACTCTGAGAACAGAGAGAGGAGGGATGATAAACGAGTGGACATCAAAGAGGCAGGTGGAGCTGCCATCAGCTTAAAGGAGAACCTCAGCTGCTATGATAAAAAGAAGTTATTTCAACATGCAGATTAGGATTTTTTGAAAAAGAAACCAACCTAGCGGCTAACCTGACCTGGTCTGATTTCTGACCACTTAGACTGGCCTACCTATAATTAATATTCATCAAAACGACCTACGGTCAAGATTTAAAATTCAAGCTACGTGACAAACAAAACTGTTAGTTTTCAGTTTAATTACAGACCTATAATTATCAACATGCCTGGAAACTATTTATAAATGTAATAAAACAAGCTAGATAAAGTTGTCTTCATATTATAAACCTGCAGCCAAAAGGGAACAGGGTTGTGATGTCACATCACAATGCAATGTCATGTGAAGAGCTAAGCTAGTCTTACCGTTTCTTGTTTTGCACAAAACGAGGTCATTTACTTGACTGGTAAAAATGTGAATTTACACTTGTTGAAAATGTCTGTGAAAAATGGGTGTTGTGAATACCTATAGTGCAATATGTATTGTTGCTCTGTATTGTTCTTTGCAGAAACAAATAAAGTTGTATTAAAAAAAAAGATTAAAAAAAAAAAAAGAGCTAAGCTAGTTGCCATTACTGTGAAGGACTCCTCAGCCTTTGGTGTCAGATCAAGTGTTAGACGTGTTTGCTAGGGTTCGCTTTGTGACATTAACCACAGAGTGTCGTCAGTCAGATGCCTGAGACAAGAATGCATCCATGTTGTTTATTCCCAGCATTCATGACAAATGGCTTATTGTGGCGGTAGCCTTTAATACAGACCGCACATCAACTTAATGAGATAACAAACTTAGTCATCAAATGTTTCCAGGTTCCTAACCAGCGTCCAGGCTTTGTCTAGATGTTCTGAAGCTTAATTCCCTTTGATGATAAAAGCTTATGTACACAACGATCAGTCATCTTTTCAAAATGTGAATTAGCACGCTCTGTAAGCAGAGTTAAATCACATTAACTGGAATATTTGAGCAAAAGAAATGCAAACATTTCAAAACAGTTAATATAGAATGTTAAATTAGCAGGAGCCAGTTTGGGTCCAAACTGTTTCAAATGTGTTTGTTAATAAGCCTCACCATATTTTACAACGAATGCAATCTTCCTTTAGGTTCCCTCATTTCTTTTTGTTTCATCTGTTTTTCTGGCCCTGTAAAGGTGTTTTTCTCTGATTGCTGTTATAGAGCATTATAGAGCTAAAAACCGCATATCCAACAATGAAATACAGTTTTACTTCGCTGCTCATTCCATTTTATAACAAAAGCTGTCTTTTTTTAACAAACTTCACAAAGTCACCTTTCACACCTTAATAAGCTGAGGCATCAAATATTGTTTAAGTTTGATTCATCAGACTAAAAATAAAACAACAAAACAATTCTTTCCAGGCATCCATTTGATCTATGGATCAATCTTGACACCTATAAAAGCCGTTAGCAGATATAAGTCAGAATAAGCCCTGCTAAAGAATACCTCTGAGCCTGTAGCTTCCAGGATGGTTGGGTGAGCACTGTCAGGGCCCCAGGCGATGCACTCTACTACATGTTCATGCTCCCGCAGCTCTGCTTTGCACTCCTTTGAAGACACCACCCAGACACGCACGGTCTGGTCGTTGGAGCAGCTGGCGATCAACGAGCCGTCCTGATTTGGACGAACCATCCTCACCCACTCCCTATGGCCTGTAAATGTCTTCACACAGTACCTGCAGAAGCACACAGCTCAACTTACACAAGCCATTTAACCATTAAACTTATTCTAAAGAATAAGTTGAAGAAAAAAAACTTCTTTAGAAATAAACTGAAGTACAAAAGGAAAGTATCCACTTACCCTGTAGCCACCTCCCACATCTTGATGGTCTTATCTCTGGAGGCAGAAACTATGTGGTCACCATTTGGCATAATTGCTACGGACGACACGTTGTGGTCGTGGCCTGAAAGAGACACAGTTCTGTCAGTAATCATTGTTCAGCCTCATACCGTTCATTCTAGTGAACCGTTTTAAATAGATTTGTGTTCATCACCATTTCTACTTAGATCCTAGCGTGTCTCCACCCAGCTCAACAACGACCCGCTTTCATTTTCAAGCCATGTAGGTTGTTACAATAATGCACATTAAGTTAGGTTTAAACATATAAATGTATTCAATTTCAAAATAAGCAGTCTTTCCACCCCCCTATTATATTTGGATAAAAAAATAATCCAATATGTTAGTTGTATAAAAAAAAAAAAAAAACAAGAAAAAATGACATTTGCAGACGATTCAGTCTGTTACGGGTTCTGTTACGGGTATTAGATCTGTAAAGTCTCTCACCGTGCATTGTTCGGATGCACTCAAACCCTTGGAAGTCCCAAAGCTTGATGCTCATGTCAGCTGAACATGAAGCCAGCAGCTTTCCCGTCTGGTCAAAGGAGATGTCCTGCACAGAGTCTGTGTGTCCTTTGAGGGTGCGTTCAAAATCCCCTGCCTCATAATCCCAAACCTGAAAATACAACAAAGAAATAACCTTAAACTCAAATAAAAAATCCTAAATCTAGAGCTGCATAGACAAATGGGCTAAAATGACTGGAAGCTGCACATTTTGGTGACTAAAAACCCCAGCCTCTCTGATCAGTGAACGCAACATGTCTAAGCACGGCCATGATGGTGTTAGGGAGGGAACATGAATCAGTTATGTTCGCAACAAGTTTTAAAAATGAAAATCAAACAAATCAGGGGTGGAATAAGTAGTTAAAAAGGCTTCATATAAGAGAAAAGACCTCTATGGATGATTTAAAACTAACAATTTAAGATGAAGGCAGTGCAATCTTTAGTTATTGAACAACAAGACAGCTAAACTATATGCTAATAAAAAGGCTAAAGCCAATTCAAAATCTGTAATTTGTGTGTTTTTTTCTTGTATAATATATAGATGGAACTAAACATCTTCTGTTCTCACCCTGAAGAGAGCCTGGAATTGGCTAAAAGTCAAATACTAGCAAACTCAAATTCAAAATATCTCCACTTTCC